TGATAACCATAAAAAAATTAACAAAAACAATCATATATTACATGATTGTCATCCAAAGGCATACTAACACTATGTTTGGGAACCCAGGAGAGAAAAGAAAAAAAAATAATTACTTAAGTTATAAGAGAAAAGAAAAGAAATGATTGTGATTTCTCTCCTTCTTATTTGGTTAGATTTCATGAGAGAGAGAAGAAAAAAAAAACTGTTTTATGTTATATTACCAAAAGCTCTTGTGCTGGATATGAAAAACCCTTGAGAACATGGGTGTCAATCATTTCATTTATTTTATTTTTACAAGGACAAAGTTGGTATTATGAAAATATAAGAATTTATTGGTTTCTTCTCTCTCTCAATCTCTCTACTTTTGGGAAGATTGAAGATGAAGGTTATAAGAGAAATGAGTTTCTCTCCGTTTCTCTTCATTTCTCTCAATTTTTCTCCACTCAAGTTATCCAAACCAGTAAAAGAAATATATATCTCTTCATTTCATTTCTTTTTTTTTTCTCACCAAATCACTTGATCCAAACATAGTATAAAAGTTAATTTGGTAAGAAAATAAAAAAAATAAAAATGTAAAAAAAAAATCATTTTTATATACTCCCTCCGTCTCAAAATATTAATTATTTTTTGAGAATCTAATATTTTTTGGTAGTACAATTATTATATTTTAAAAAGATCAACTTTTCAAAATTAACTTTCAATCATTTTTTTTTTTTGGAGAACATTAAATGCAATAATTTTATTTTTTATGTTTTTAATTTAATTAAAAAAATGATAAAATATGAAATTCATATTATTTTTTCATCAAATTGTAAAAAAAAAAAAAAAAAATAAAATTCCCACACTAAAAAATAACTTATCAATGTTCAAAAGACTATTTTACCCTTTCTAATTGTTTACTAAGTAATAGCATGGAGGGTAAAATGGACATTTCACCAAATAATCCATGGTATCCCATGGTTTCTATCCCACACCCCCCATGGGATAGAATAGCCCCATATTTGTGGGACTAATAGTCCGGAGGGACTATTAGTCCGGAGCAAAATTTTGCAAACAAACAATGGACTATTAGTCTAGTGGGACTAATAGTCCAATCCCACACCCTTATCCCTCAAAACAAACATGCTCTAAAAGCTGAACTTGAACTATAGTCAAATTCTCAATGTGCCAGTGTTAGTGTCATTATGGGATTCTCAATGTGCTAGTATCTAGAGAGCATGCATGCATGGATGGTGACGGATCTTGAATTATGTCTTTGAGGAGATTATTTTATATAATTTTAAAATTATTTATAAAAAATTTAGAGGTACAAATTCTTATAATTTTAAATTATTTTAAAATTTTTAATATAATATATAATATTTTTCAAATTTTTGGAATGCGATCATCCTTTAGCCCCCTAGAACCATCATTGCATGCATGGATAGAAGGTTCTTTCGCAATCCTACTATGTCAATAGAACGTAAAGATTAAGAGACCCTACAAATATTAATGCAAGGAAAACCAGGGCATAAAGTATGGTCCCCATGGGACCAAACCAACCTTCTTTTGTCTTTGCATAGATCTATCTTTCTGTCATACTTTCATCACATGATTCCTTTAAATACAATTTTAGGTGGCACAGCACGGTCACGTCTTCAATTGCACATGATTGTGTCAATTGCATGTTAGTTATATATCTTTTTTTTTTTAATTATAACTTATAATATACATATGATACTCACATTTTTTAAGAGATATGTATCATAATATTTTTTCACAATTAAAATATGTATTTTCTTTTTCTTTAACAGAACAGGATTAAGGAGAAACAAACAAAACAAAAGTCAGAGATAAAAATACTTTGTTTTGAGTAAAGTATTTCCTCTAAAAGCAATGTTAATGCTAGGAATCCCAATATTTTATCCTATGTCCATGCAAGTGTGTGAAACCTACATAAAACCAACATGTAAAACATTTAATACAACATTTATTAGAATGTTTAGGTCCCTGCCATTTTTCTTCCTCTAAACCACATGTGGTGTGGAGTGGATGGTGTTTTCTTGCTCTTCTTGGCATTTGGAAAAACTCTTTGTATATTGGTCTGTTTCTGCAATTCTCTGAATTTGAGCTTCTGGGTTTCATCCAAAGTGAGTTTTTTAGTGAAAAAATTGGCAGTTTTGGGGGGTTCAGTTCTAATTCAAATTTAGAGGTTTTATTATTTTGGTTTCTTCTCTCTGGGTTTGATGCTTTATTGATTTGTTGATCATAAATACCAAGGTATTTACCATTCATTTCTTTTCAAGTCCTACATGAAGAAGCTGTTATAGGGTTTTCATTATTAAAAAGCAAAGTATTTGTCATTTATATAAATGTAGGTGTAGTGGAGTAGGTGGTGGTAGGTGAGTGTAGTAGGTGAGTGTGTGGTAGGTGATGGTAAATGTGTGGTAGGTAGAGGTAAATTCTAACAGCCCCCCGCAAACTCAAGGAGGATAGAAACTAACCAACTTGAGTTTGGAGAGAGGAACATAACAAGAAAATACATAAAAATAATAAAAAAAAAAAGATAGGAGACACTGTATGGTCGTGTCAGACCGTTGGTGAAGACACTGAAAGGTGGTGCCATAACGTGGTAGAGGACACTGGATGGGTGTGCCATAACGGTGTAGAGGACACTGGATGGTGGTGTCATAACGTGGTAGAGGACACTGTATGGTGGTGTCATAACGTGGTAGAGGACACTGAAAGGTGGTGTCATAACGTTGTAGAGGACACTGGATGCTAACCGGAATCAATGTCGGGACAGTTTATGGGGTCATGTCGGACCGTAAAAGGCTAACCGGAATCAAATGTCGGGACAGTTTATGGGGTCATGTCGGACCGTTGAAAAAGTGGCACCCTCAAAAGGTGTGCCCAATTTTTTTTTTTTAAAAGGTGTGCCATCAAAAGGCGAGCCCAATTCATCAAAAGGCGTGCCGGATTCATCATGGCGAGGCACGTGAGTGCCTTGGTTGGCGCGCCCGTTTGTCGGCTGGTGGTAAGAGGCGCGCGATGCGCGTGGCTGCCTCGGCTATAAGACGGAGGCTGAGGCTGAGGCAAAAAACCTGCGAGAGATATTCTGAGAGAGAGTTCTGAGAGAGATTCTGTAACACTCTGTTTTCTGAGAGAGATTTCTGAGAGAGATACTGTGTAACACTCTGTTGCCTAGAAAATGGCTTCATCGTCTTCCCGCGGGCTGCTCACCCTTTTTCCTGACCTCAACGAGTCAACGAGAGAGAGAACTGGTGCGGTGGCACTGGAAATTCAACCAAGCGCCCCGGAGTTTGCTCCGTTGAACTTTCCGATGCGGTCTGTGGAGCAAAGAATGGCAGTGCAGTCGGATGTGGAGGCCAATCAGTATACTTTGAAGGCATGTGTGGAAAGCATGACGGCGGTCACAAATTTGTCGCACCGGCTGCAGAGCAGGACAAATGAGGTGCAACAGTTAAACGCCCAACTGGCTCTGCTCCAACGCATGTATAAGGATGCGCGAGCAGAGATAAGCGTGCTGAAAGCGGAAAACAAGGAGCTGAAGCGGAAGGCCACTGTGATGTTCCGATTTGGAGGGCCGCCATATGCTGTAGGGGAGGAGTATGGGGGAGTGAACGTACTCGGCGGCGTGGAAAACACGGAGGCAGCACCGTCAAGGGCGGCTCAGGACGGAGGCAAGAAAAAGAGACCTGCAGTAGAGTAGAGAAGAAAAATCCCACTGTGGGTGTGTTGTTTTGTTTGTGTTTGTGTTTTTTTTTTTTTTTTTTTTGATGTAAAAGTGTGATCGGGGTGAGCCCTTGATATGAAAAAAATATGAGTGTTGGGCAAATTTGTAAATTGTTTGTTTGTTTGTTTGTTTGTTTGTTTTTTTTTTTTTTTTTTTGGCAATAATAATAATAATAATAATAATAATAATAATAATAATAATAATAATAATAATAATAATAATAATAATAATAATAATAATAATAATAATAATAATAATAATAATAATAATAATAATAATAATAATAATAATAATAATAATAATAATAATAATAATAATAATAATAATAATAATAATAATAATAATAATAATAATAATAATAATAATAATAATAATAATAATAATAATAATAATAATAATAATAATAATAATAATAATAATAATAATAATAATTTTAATAATAATAATAATAATAATAATAAAAATAATAAGAGGGATGTTGTATTTTTTAATAATAATAATAATAATAATAATAATAAGAGGGGAAGGACAAGCCCACATGGGTGAGTAAAAGCAAAAAAAAAAAAAATAAAGAAATGAAAAGAGGGGGACAAAAGTTAAGTTTTATAATAAAAAAGAAAATTTTGGGCGGTGGATGGAAGCAAAACAATAAAAAAAGAAAAGAAAAGAAAAGTAGCAGACATTGTGATTCATTGCCAGTTCTGTTCTGCTCAAAAGTTGGTCTGGTGTGGGACTAGAGCTCGTCAGTATGCTAATGTGGCAGCTGTGTATGCACTAAAGAAGACTGAGCCTATGCCGAACTTAGCAAGTCGAGTAGTATGAAATCGGGTAAAAACTTATACTGGATTTCTTCGAATGGTGACTCTTCTGGTGGAGGAAGATCATAACAGGGAGCTTCATAGGGAGCATGAAGGAGACAGAGGAGGTGCTTGAGTTCTGCAGAGAAAAGGGTCTTCTCAGATCGAAGTGGTGAAGATGGATTACATCAACAAAAGGGCAGGCAAACATGCTGTGTACATGGAAGAAGAAGATGGCGCAAGTGGCGAAGCCGGACTTGGCGAAGAGGACGGAGGTGAGCTGAATGAGCCAGCTCGACTCGCCGGTGAATGCAAGTGTGTGAAACCTACATAAAACCAACATGTAAAACATTTAATACAACATTTATTAGAATGTTTAGGTCCCTGCCATTTTTCTTCCTCTAAACCACATGTGGTGTGGAGTGGATGGTGTTTTCTTGCTCTTCTTGTCATTTGGAAAAACTCTTTGTATATTGGTCTGTTTCTGCAATTCTCTGAATTTGAGCTTCTGGGTTTCATCCAAAGTGAGTTTTTTAGTGAAAAAATTGGCAGTTTTGGGGGGTTCAGTTCTAATTCAAATTTAGAGGTTTTATTATTTTGGTTTCTTCTCTCTGGCTTTGATGCTTTATTGATTTGTTGATCATAAATACCAAGGTATTTACCATTCATTTCTTTTCAAGTCCTACATGAAGAAGCTGTTATAGGGTTTTCATTATTAAAAAGCAAAGTATTTGTCATTTGGAATAGGTGATTTTTAATTTTTGGATTTGTTGTATGAGTAATTACACCCAATAGAATTTGGGTTGGGTGGCTTTTGTTGGGATATCTAAAAAAAAGCTGTATCTGATCATCAGGGCAAAACAAAAGCAGTTTTTGAATCTGGAAACAAGAAATGGTGTTCTAAATTAAGGGGGGCAAGTGTAATTTCTTGGGATTTTTCATGGAAAAACAAAGTAGTTTCCGTGGTGCTGCAACTATGGAAAAGCAGCAAAGTTTTCGAGGAGACAAGGTGATAAAAAAACAGCTGAGTTTTGGTGGTGGAGTAATGGAGAAAGAGCAGAGTTTTCGTCGTGGGTTGATGGAGAAACAGAAGAGCTTTCGGATAGCAATGGAGAGGCAGGTCAGTTTTGGAGGAGGAGAGAGAAAGAAGAGCAAAGAGTCACCAGGAAAAAGGGGTGATTCTCCAATTCATTTGGCTGCGAGAGCAGGGAATTTGAGTAAAGTGAGAGATATTTTGCAGAGATTTGATGTTAATGGTGGAAAAGAATTGCTATCAAAGCAAAACCAGGAGGGAGAGACTGTTTTGTATGTGGCTGCAGAGAATGGACATACCCATGTTGTTGGTGAATTCTTGAAATATTTAGACCTCCAAACTGCATCTTTGGCTGCCAAGAATGGCTATGATTCCTTTCATATTGCAGCTAAGCAGGGTCATCTTGGTATGATTTCTATTTCATTCTTTGCTTCCTCTTTTTTGCTTCTTTTTTATTTTTATTTTTTTTTTATTTTTGGTTTGGAAATTATTGACATTGAAGGTTTCTTGACTTAAATTATGTTGGGTTTTAGACCAAAGCAATAAATCTTGTGTCAGCATTTGCATTAATTTTCTTCATTGGGCACAGCAAAGATTGTTTCACTTTTTTAAAAGGAAAATAATAATTCTATGTTAATTTCAAAGGACGACAACATTGACTGCTCTAAAATGCTTGAGATGCATTGATAGGATTTCATAATTAAAAATTGCCTAATTTGCTGACTTCCATATTCTGGAAAGGGGTGTTGTTAACTCTGGTAATTTTTCAATTTATGTATTTATTTATTTATTTTAATCCCTTTCAGTTTTCAGCGACTCCCCCACCATTGATATATATACTCTTCATTACATATTTTAATTACAAGCTGGAGCTGAGAGCAGCTCCAATCCATTGAAACTTTCCGTTGTCCCCACACAAGTTACTTTTTAGAAGTATTCGATTCTTTTTCTTTGAAATCGTAACACAATCAATAATCTTTCCTGCAATGTCTGAGCTGCTAAATGATTTCCAAAAGCTTTTGGTATTGCATACCGTGCTAACGACCAAACTGCTGCTTATCCTGTTGTCTCTCTTGTCTCTACATTCTATTGGAAAGTCCAGTGTTATGTCAGCATTTTTTTATTGAGATTTTTCCCAGTAATCATTCACCATTAATAAGCTCTAATAATTTACACAATGATAGTTTGTGAGAGTCCAAAATGTGAGAATGGATTTGGCCTTTCACACTGCTATATTGCGGTTTTTCTTGTTGGAGGGAGTTCAAAGGGTCACCATTATGCTTGGAAAAACTTGTAAGAAAATATCACTAGAAAACGAGTTGATAGTGACTCCTGCAAGTTATTAGGTGAAATAATCTAGTGTAACGAATCCCAATGCTTTAGGCAACTCGAAAATCAAGCTGTCTGTCAAGTGGACAAGTTTGCTTCTCATTTAAGTCCTTGATGGATGTCATGTGGTTAATCATCAATTTGATGTTGATTTCCTTGCTGTTATCGCTTAAACATTCATGTATGATGTAAAACAATATATACATATATATATATATTTTCACCAAAGAAGAAAGGGAAAAAGATTAAAGAAGGATATTGGTATTGGGAATGCAGCTTGAAGAAAACAAGCAAGGCGTATAGTCATAGTGTGTAGTCTTGTATGTGTGTGTGCGGCTTCCCTGCTTTGTGTATAATCATCCTTCTCATACAAAGATTTGAATGGTAAATCTATTACCAATTGCATACCACTTTAAGCACCATATCGAAAGCAAGTTACTGATGAGATTTTTGTCCTAATTATTTTAGATCTATAGCCTGACACACCCGATCCCAGACCTACAGTGAGGTATTGACTGTGATTCTCACATATTTCAGAACAAAATATAATATAGTAAGATAGAACTTAATAGAAACAAAGACAGATTCTTGTGGCTAAAGCTTTCTTTTCTAGAATGGATGAAACAAACAACAAATTCAATCATAGAAAGAAGTGAAGGAAAACATATCTATTGGTATTCTAAGCCTTTGTTGAGAATAGATAAAACATGTGTAATATTACTTTTCTGTTCTTGCTCTTGCTTAAGCTTAAGCCTTTCTTTGGCATGATTTTGCAGAGGTACTGAAGGAACTTTTGTATTGTTTCCCAAACCTGGTCATGGCCACTGATTCAACCAATTCTACAGCCTTACACACTGCTGCAGCGCAAGGGCATATTGATGTAGTCAATCTGCTTCTGGAAACTGACTCAAACCTTGCCAAGATAGCCCGAAACAACGGCAAGACCGTGCTCCATACTGCAGCAAGGATGGGCCACTTGGAAGTCGTGAAATCCCTACTGAGGAAGGATTCAAGTATTGGTTTTTGGCCCGATAAGAAAGGCCAAACTGCATTGCACATGGCTGTCAAAGGGCAGAGTGTGGAGATTGTGCATGAATTAAGTAAACCTGACCCCTCAGTCTTGAGCTTGGAAGATAACAAGGGAAACACAGTTCTGCATATTGCAACAAGGAAAGGCAAAGCTGAGGTATTTTTGTTTGCCCGTTCTTTGATTTTTCTCTTTTTCTTTATATGTATATATGTTAGTAAAAAATTTGTTAGGCCTCAATCGACAGAACCTCAACACAAAAACTCCACAATCAACCAAACTATAAAGCGACTGTGTGAGGTTCGAATGCCTTGAAAGATTCAAGGACTTCCAAATTTGTGTGAAGAAAAACAAACAACAAAAAGAAAAAGAGAAAGAGAGAAGAAGAAGATGATGATGCAAAATAATTGAATGAACAATCCAATTACAACTGAAGTACATTAAAGCTACTCCTAAGTTATGTCTACTCCTCGGATAGTGGAAATGATAGAAATCAACTTCTTTAATTTGTTGGAGATCCAAACAATGTAGCCATGAGTGGTTTTTATAGACAAACTATTGGAAAAAAACTATTTACATAAACAACCTACAATGCCATGTGCCTTTCCTTGTATCTTCCATAAAAACCACCAATTTGTAACTTCTTTTAACTTCGGGTTGGATAAGATAGTGCCACATGTCCTGCGTAATAATAATAAATGTGGCCATAGTTACTTTTTTAAGATGACTCATGGCTTGAATCAACCGGCCACAATCACCACGAAATAATTTATGGTGTAAACAATATCATTTACCCATGTTTTTTTACTGATTTGTAATTAAGTTTCTTATTTAAAGACCATACAAAAAAATTTAAACGTGTAATGGACTTAGTTATAAATACTTTACCATAACCGTTTGTCACCTTAACGGTAATAATACTTTACCATACATATTGTGTTGCTTAACTGTGGGTAGCATTTCGTTTGTCTGTCTTAACAACTGTATGTTCGTGCATATACACAATACCATGTTTTCAAAATTTAATAGTTTCCTTTGTGAAATCTCATATCTTTGTCAAAATAGGCTATACTTGTGAAGGAGAAGGAAGAGAAATTCAAAGCACAATCATAGTTCAATTTGCTATGTGAGGAAAGGAGATCTATTGTAAAAATCTAGCTTTAACGATACTGAAATTGCTTTGTGCAATTGCAGATTGTTCATTGCCTATTATCAGTTGATGGGATTAACATCAATGCCATAAACAAGGCTGGAGAGACCCCCCTTGACATTGCTGAAAAGTTTAGTCCAGAACTTGTGCCCATTTTAAGAGAATCCGGGGCTACCAATTCTAAAGATCTTGGAAAACCCCCAAACGCGGCAAAGCAACTCAAGCAGACCGTGAGTGACATAAAACACGATGTGCAGTCCCAACTCCAACAGACCCGTCAAACTGGCGTCAGAGTCCAGAAGATTGCAAAAAGGCTAAAGAAGCTTCACATCAGTGGCCTCAACAATGCCATTAATTCAGCTACGGTTGTAGCTGTTCTCATAGCTACTGTTGCTTTCGCAGCCATCTTTACTGTTCCTGGCCAGTTTGTTGAAGAGAAAACACAAGGGTTTTCACTTGGGCAAGCCCACGTAGCGCAAAAACCAGCTTTCATAATTTTTTTCGTGTCAGACAGTGCAGCTTTATTCATCTCCCTTGCTGTCGTTGTAGTCCAGACATCTGTCATTGTGATAGAACAGGAGGCGAAGACGCAACTTGTGTTTGTGATTAACAAGCTCATGTGGTTGGCTTGCCTGTGCATTTCGATAGCCTTCATTTCTCTGACCTATGTGGTGGTGGGATCAAAAGAAAGGTGGCTTGCTGTGTCTATAACACTAATTGGTGGTGTAATCATGCTCACTACAATTGGTTCAATGTGTTTCTGTGTAATTCGGCATAGGATGGAAGATTCAAAATTGAGGAACATAAGGAGAACCGAAACCCTGCCACGTTCATTCTCAATGTCTATGGCATCTGATACTGAGATCTTGAACGAAAAATATAAGAGGATGTATGCACTTTAAGAGCAAAGAAAATTTTGGAGAAATAGAAAAGAAGATTGAAACAACGATGAGGAGTTGGATTGCAAACAAGAAGGTAGGCGCCTGTGATTGATGTATCTGCATGTATGTCTCTACATAATCCAATTCTGTATCATAATTGTTGATCTGCATCTAAAAGTATGCATAATTATATTCCTGTTCTTTTCCTCTAGCCCTTTCAGTACCTACTAGTTTTTGATTTGGTTAGAACATTTAATTTAAAAGTAAGTTACACCAATCTCCCTGAGGTTTGGCGTAAATACAAATGACCTCACAGTTTTGATATAATTACATTGCGTTGCCTTGAGACCATAATACCCCTCACTTGTTATATAGACTTCCCACCTCACCTCTATACGCATTCCTTTTTTTTCCTTCCCTTCCCTCTCCTCTCCTCTCCTCATTTCGTTACGAGGGCAGTGCCTCTCCTTCCATTTCTGTTGCAGTGTGTTGTTGTAGATGACGACGACAATAACAGCAAAAAAATTGAAACACGGATTACAAAGCAATATCAGTAGTTCCAGTACAGAAGAGGGAAGAAAAGTCAAGTTTCCAGTGTTTTAGCAATGAGTATCCTTTCACTGAAATGAGAATGTCAAAAAGCATGGAAGGAAGAGAGAGAGAGAGACACTTTAGATAACACTTGAGAGAATTTCTTACAAAAAAGTGTTTGCTTCTCTCATAGGTTCATAGTCCGATAAGTAACGCTTAATCTCTTTGAAACGTTAGCATCATCTTCAGATTTCACTTTAGACAAGGGGGAGAAACAGAGAGATCTACTCCAATCAGCTATCTAAATTTGAATCCCTTTTTCTATGCTTTAGTCTTATGATAATCCTTTTGTTCCCACCACTATTTCTCTGTTTTCTGCTCAAGAGAGCAATCTTTTCTGCATAAAGTTATAATAAAGCTAACTCTATGATGCAGGGAAGTATATCGGAAAGAAGAGCAAACAATTAGATCAAACCACGAACAAATCCAAACTAGAGATACTCTCTCTATGAACGAATAATATTGAGAAAATTCTCTATTTTTATTATTCAAATATCGACCATCTTGTCGTAAGGCTTATATCTTTATTTATAAAGAAGCCTAAAAAAAAGAAAAAGGTATATTCTTGCTAGTCAAGAATATTTTAAAAGGAAAATACAATATTATAAAAAAATAATAATTCTTGTGTGCAACTAATTCCGAATTTTATGATTAGATTTTTTTTTTCAGGAAAAAAAATTTAACTGAAATGTCTACAAAGATTCAATAAGTGAGTGTCCCTTGCTTAGTTTTGAAAATTTTCACAATACGCCTAATTCACTGTTTAAAATCATCAAAAATATTTATCTGCTGAAACCTTTTTGGTTTTGGTTTCGAAAAACAATTTTGAGTTTTTTTGTTTTTCATTTTTTGGTCTTTCATGACTTTTATTTCATATTTTAGTTTTTTTTTTTTTTTAATAAGCTCTTCGGATGCACATCATCTTGATGAATCTAAAAGGTAAAATATTTGTAAAAAAAAAAATTTAAAACAATTTACTAAAGATAAAAATAAAAATAAAAATAGGGCATTTTAATTTTTATCTAATTTTTATTTTTAGTGAAATTTTTTCATATTTTTTTATAAATATTTTACTTTTTTATGTGAATCAAAAAAAGTAAAGAAAAAAAAAACAAATATAATTAGGGTTGGGCAGCAAATATTCCAAAATGCGCAAACCAATCGAACCAAACCAATCCGTCGCATCTTGGATGAATGCGTGACGACAAGCGGACGGTTGTGGATTGATATGTTCAAAATTTGTAGAAGTTTAAATTATCAAACCGCATCCGTCAATCCGGCGGACAGATGTGGATTGATTTTTTTTCAATCCGCCAATCTAGCGAACAAATGGCAGATTGAAGGCTCTCTAACCTCAACCGAACCACGAACACCCGAAATGTAATTGTTCAAGAAATTATAAAATTTTACAATATAGAAATTGTCTCAAAATGTCAAGAATTGAAACTAGGAAAACTTATTAAAAATAAATAAACAAACATAAGTTTATGTCCAATACAAAGCTAGTTTGGTAAATTTGAACGAGTGATTTAAAATACATAAATTTTATCTAAAACAAATATTTTAATATTTTTAAAGTTTAAAATCGTAAAATAACTAACTTAACAGTTCATTAATGTCACCAACGCGAGTAATGTTGCACAGTGCTACACTAAAAGACAAATCAATCCGAATTATTTTTAGAAGTTCAAAAAATTATTTAAACTAAAAATAAAATCAAAATCAAGGAGACTTCGAGGTCTAACAAAAATTTATGAGATCTAACCTACTTGTTTGAGGTTAATTCAAACTTAGGTCAAAGATTTTTAGAGGAATGCACAATAAGGAATAGAGGGAGCTTCTATTTACACACACCAAATACCTTCTTTGCACACACTTAATGATATTTAATCTTATTACAATTTTATCCCTAAATGAAATTACTATTTTAGACATCTACCCAATTCAAAAGTCTCAATGCACACACATCCATCACGTTGAAGCTCCAAGTTCAGCACTCATTCATTAAGCTGAAGTCAGTCATCCATTACGTTGGACTCACCTTCACAGAGCATCACTTATTCTTCATTCATCATTGTTCTAGAGGATTTGCGTTGGAAATGAGCAGAATCGGATTTGCCTGTGGAGGATATCCAAATGAGCATCACTTTTTTTTTTTTCAGCGTCGTTCGGACAACCAGGGTCGTATTGTATTATTTGGTTCGGAAATCTACAACCGAAATAATTATTTAATTTCGAAAGTTGTTGTCCGAACAAAGTTATTAATTTCGAAAGTTGTTGTCCGAACAAAATATTTAAATTCGGAAGTTGTTGTCCGAACAAAGTTAACCTTTACAACATTCAACTTCCGAAATTTTAAAAAAAATTCGGACAACTACTTCCAAATGAAGTAAAATTTTGTTTTCCCATTTTATATTCCAAATTTGCAAACTGCAAACTAAATTTACAATTTCGAATTGCAAATTTATGTTTATAATGCCATTAAAAATTTGTAATGTTATACAAAACATGTAGGAATATGTGTCAACTGAAGGAAGTCAGGTTTGCGCGGATTTTGTGTTGGATTACACTACTCAATTCACATGAATTTTATGTTTCGAATTGCTTACCAAATGTAAATGTTTGATAATAAGAAAATATCACTTACAAAATCAACGACCATTGTTACCATTCCATTCTAAAAATAAAATGTCATTACAATACCATTGTTGCCATTCCATTGTAATAAGAAAAATGTTAACCACTGTTACCATTACAACAATATCATCTTACAAAAATCACCAAAAAAAATTTATCAACACGCAAATAACATGTCACGAATCAATTGTATGCCTACGCCTAGGCCTACGACTGTATGTCCGGGTAAAAAGGCGTCCTCCACAGCAATGTCAGGCATATTATCACCTTCAACTCGTCTTTGGCTTCGACTTCTACTTTGACTGGCACTGGGGATATCATATTCTACCGAAACTGGATCACGACCTCGACCTCGTCCTCGCCCACGCCCTTGTCCCCGTTCATGGTCAACATCCAATTCATGACGTCGTCTATTTGAAGGAGTAGGTCGGACACGTTGTTGATATTCAAAATCCATATTCTCTGCAAAAATTAATATACCCCAACAAAATAAAATTAAAAAAAAAATGATTCAAAAGTATTACCATGGATGCTTCAATGGGTACTAACATGGATGCTTAAAATATTGAGATTACCACAAATGTAAAAATAATACACAAAAGAAGAGAGAGAAAAAAAAACACTGTTCAGAAGTTGCAATCCGAAAATATATATACTGTTCGGAAGTTGAAATTTGAAACAAAAAATTAATTTCGGAAGTTGATTGTTGTTTGAATTTAATGTATTCGGAAGTTGACTGCCGAAATAATCAAAAAGTTTCGAAAATCGACTATTGAAATAAATCATCAATTTCGGATTCCTACTTCCGAACAAAGTCCTCAATTTCGAAAACCCAGTTCCGAACGGTTTGTTCACGATCCGTGGGTCTTCGTTCGTTTTCAAAATGAAAAAAGCAAAACTCTCCGTTGCAAATTAAATAGGAATGATGATTCCAAAGTAAACTCACCTAATGAGGATTGAAAATGTGATGGAATGCTTCAATGGGTTGCAGCTTGGTGGATGAAATGCTTCAATGTGTTTGTACACCTGAGTTGCACACGGTAAGCTTCTATGTGATGGAATGCTTCAATGTATTTGCACACGGTAAGCTTCAATGGGTGTGTATATCCTCAAGGTTGAAGATGGAGCTCAGCTTCAATGGGTGTGTGTAGCTGGGTTTGGAGTCGGGGGTGTGTGTGTGTGTGTGTGTGTGAGAGGGTAGATGTGGAATGAACTGTGTGTAGTGAGTAAACTAATTAGGAATTAATTTTTTTGGTGTGTGTAGTGAGAAGGATGTGCAAAAAGAGTATTTGGTGTGTGTAAATAGATGGTCCCAGGAATAGACAACAATTTGAGCAAAACAAAACTTGCACATATACATTTGTCCAAAAAAAAATAAATAAATAAACTTGCACATATACATGGGCACAAAGGTATGACTTGCTAATATAGAACACATTATGAATAATGCTTATTGGCATCACAAATTTCAATGAGAGAGAGTGCATGGAATATGTAACAGCAAAGATTTTTTTGTACCTTCTTTACATTACAGTAGAGCTTGCAGACAGAGAATTGTGTAAGCCAAAAAAATAAAAAAGAAAGGCCTGATATACAAAAAAGAGAAAATGATGGAACAACATGGTTCGGCCCGAAGACACCTGAAATGGAGATTCAATTAAGCTCCATGAATCCTTCTAAGTATTTACATCAACATTCTTACTGCTGCTGTCTGATGATGATGAGGAAATTGAACAGCCTTTTTTCTTATAAAAATTTGCAGTAGATAAACATTCTGTTTTCGCTTCTCCCGGCTCTACTTCATTTATCCATTTTTTTCCCTGTTTTTTTTTCAGTTTCTTTTTCTTTTTTTTTCCCTGTATGTTCAGATTCTTTTTCTTTCTTTTTCCCTGTATTTTCTCAGATTCTTTTTCTTTCTTTTTCCCTGTATTTTCAGATTCTTTTTCTTTCTTTTTCCCTGTATTTTCAGATTCTTTTTCTTTCTTTTTTCCTGTATTTTCAGTTTCCTTTTCTTTCTTTTTTCCTGTATTTTCAGTTTCCTTTTCTTTCTTTTTTCCTGTATTTTCAGTTTCTTTCTCTTTCTTTTTCCCTGTGTTTTCAGTACCATGTAGACTTCGAGGCTCATCACCCAAATCATTGGCACTGCCAACATGCCGAAGGCGATGGGAATTCTCTCGGGATTTTCTAGAACTGTTATTTCTTGAATCAATAAGGACTGGCTTGGCTGCTGCTGAGAAGCAATGACGCACACGAACTCTATGACATCTTGTCTCAATTGAGCAACTGCCTTTTACATTCACCACCAATATCACTTCTTTATCTCTGGTGTCTTCAGACCACCAGCTTTGTGGAACCCCATCAACAAAATCTTCTAGGGTATGGAATTCTTCATGATGTACCGAGATCTCAACTACTTGATCAGGTTTGATTATCCCAGCTGCTGGTAACACCTAAAAACCACAATTATTATTTTTTTATTATTATATAATTAAGAAAATAATCATTAAGGAGATCATCATAAAAAAATTTAAAAAAAAACAAAGCATTATTACTACCTCAAGCCAACGGGGAAAACCAAAGGAAGCTCTTGGATAATACTCTGTAGGTTGTTCATCCTCTTTAATGGTAGACTGACCTTCACATATAATTTGAAATATAGCATTATCTGCCCCGCTTTTGTTGGTGATTTTTAGAATGGATGTATCTTGGTTTTGAAGGATAATGTAATTGGTACTGACAACCGTTTCTGGAACGAAACATAATTCTTGAAGTAAAGACCTGATTTTATCATTGCTTTTCATAACCTTCCCAAACTCTTCTCTCCTCACTGATCTATCAACACGTGCAATCTCAACATTGAGTTTGCACCGCACAGGTTTGTGATCACTTTCTGTCACATCCATACAAGCCTCATACCTATCAAGTAGAAGGAGATATAACTAGTTTTAAAACCGAACAAGCCAAAAAAATAAATAAATAAATAAATAGAAAACCTACTGCAATATTGAAGCTACTACAGGGCACTCTAAAGTGGACTCCGATGTAGACGATGACCGGTTGTCACGATATAGTATCCTGTCACACCAAGCAGGAAGTAAGTCTTCTCTCCAGAATCATATCCTGAAAAGGATAGACACACACACACACACACAAAACAAACAAGCAAAACAAGCGTCATTCAATATCAATGCTTTTGGGCCAACCCAGAGTGTAGTATAGGACAAACCCTTTGAAAAGCAAATGCCAAACTGAGGTCCTTCCGAACAAACAACTTCTGTAACTGGAAGAGATATTCACTTCTAAAACTAAGTTGGTAAAAAGTTCCAAGGAAAATAATATACCACTATCATCACATCATACCTCCTAAACCCGCTTTTCCCCTTTCGAACTTGTAAGTAGGAGGAAATTTGATGAGTGCCTCACGCATTCCTTGAAAAACTTTGCCAGCTTTCATCTCTGCTCTAAGTTGATCCTTTTCTCTAAGCCAGTCAAAGCTTCTTTGTGAAACAAAATCCCTTGCTTCATCATAAGATATTCCAAAAAGCCGATAATTAAAATCACCCAAAAATATGACCATATCAGCATCAGCTAAATCGGGTCTTCCCTCTTCGGGATTTTTTTCCCCATCCTGTTAAAGCAGAATAGATATTTTATATGAAAAGCCAGTGATTTAGAAACAAGAGAATTAACTTGAGAATGAAAAATCAGAATATGGTCTTACATTTGAACCCCGAAGCATTTGAACAGAAGTTGAGACACCAACTGCAACAGAGAGGACCAATGGCAAGCCAGAAGAATAAAGTAGCCAAAATAAATATGTGGAGAAGGCAAGAGAGCAAGACAAAAACAGGTATGGCACCATACCAGCAGCAGTATTAAGGAGGTTAGATGAGCGGCTGAAGACCATTGTCCGATAAATATGATCAAAGTCGGCATTGCGGCGATTAACTGCTTCCAAATGTGCAGCCAAGTGACAGTTAACAAAACACATTATGCGATCATATACTCTCAACCTCAAACCTACACCCCCCTGTTCAGAGACATATGTAGCCATGTAAATCAAAGCTTAACAAGAAATTATGAAAAAAGGGCAAAGAAGAAAAAGATGCATAATAAACTGGTTAATCAAGCTTAAACATTAGCTTTCTGCCTCATTTTGGGTGACAACTTTCAGTTGCATAGCAACTTTTCACTCTTGCAAGAAAATTGTAAGTGTATATATACACATGGCCATATTTGGACCATAAGAGAAGGAAAAATGAAAGAGATCTTGACATCTTGTCGACCATAGAAGTCATAGAACTGAGACAAGTCTGCAACCACATGAAGTTATTATCAGCAAATAATAGCCTGGTCTCATCATTATAACAGATGCGATGAACTAGAACTTAGGGATTCTATTTTTTTTTTTTTTTTCCTAATTCCTTGAAATGTGATATATCAGTAACGTTCAACCTTTTTTGTACAGAGCATACTATTCCACTAGTGTCATACAATCAAAATCAAAACAAAATTTATCGTAACATAAACACCTGACACTTATTGCTGAAGGAGAACCTTCTGCAAGTCAACCACGTTGCATTCAACATCTTGTTACCACATATTTTGCCTACTAGTGTATAACCTGCTTTCATTAATGTACCACCACTCCAAGTTATCGTGACCCCATAATTACATTTAATATTTATAACCTAGACCAGACTGCACCATATCATGAAACTACCAGAACATGAACTGAACTGGTATCACATCATGTTTACAAAAATGTTTTATATGAAGACACGTGCATTTATCACATGTAGCAATTGTATGGCTATTATGAGTTATTGACTCTACTGTCTCATACTTTTGCTGAATTAGTGGGAGAAAAATAAAGTACAAATAAATAAAGTTGTGGTTCATAGTGTTGCAATTGAAGGACAGATAAGAGGATTCTTTTGGGAAGTGTTTTGGATCAGAAGGTACAGAGAGAAGAATGAGAAGAGGGGAACAAGAAATTGGATTCTGTTTTCTCTAGATTGACTCTATGTTTTACTATATTGCAAAACACCTCCTTGACATCCTTATTGATGTACAATCTGATTACTCCGACAATCGAGTTCAATAGTTAATAGATGAAATAAAAGGTTGAAATATTACTTCAGAGGATTCAAACTCAGGAAAATGAAATACCAAACCCATCAGATAACTATTATCCATTAAACTTCCAAGCTTAGTTTACTGAATCTGAAAAAGTGGGATGATAAACCATGAGGTCCATAGGCATAAAGCAGGCTAACACCTCTAAATCCAAGCCCTGAGCATAAATAATGAAACTACCATTATGTGACAATAGATTAGAATAATGTAAGTCAACTATTCTTCCAAACACTCGATCTCATTTTCAAGCACACAAGCCAAATTGCTAAGAATGACATAGGAACTGAGAAGTACAAGACTTTGAGCAAATCTAATTAATGAGTGACAATGAGGCAGGACACCATTGAGAAATAGTTATCAGGCACATGCCAGCTACACAGCATCATGTTATACCACCATTGGAAAATGAAAAGAAAAAATAGCATCAAAAATCTCAAAGACATCGCAGATGATCACAGTGAAGAAAGACATACCTTATTACCAATTGCACGACCTAAGCCACAAGCAACAGCTGCAACATCCAAGTCCCCAACATATGTTCTAAGAGTCTTTCTTACCCTAGAGGCAAGAAATATCAACCATAGCATAAGGAATAAAGCAGTAAAAAAGGTAGACGCCCTAATGAGAACATTTTAGGCAGAAAAAAGATACCTTATCAAATATACTTTAAGAGGAACCAAGAGACCAACTGTATGTAACAGGTTTGACTCCCATTATAAAAATGAAACCAGACCACCTAGTGATCTTCCAATGATAAACATTAAACACTTACCAGATAGCTATTAGCAAGCCTGCCAGCTGTCTAGATCCTACGCGTTCAAAATTCGATCCTTCATCCAAGATCTTTCCAATTGTGTCCTGCCACCATTGCCCAACGGAACTCCCTTCAAGTCCTACCTACAATTGACATAAAAACCAGTGAGCAAATCATACGTATGATGTTATGAGCATACACAATTCTGAGAGAGAGAGAGAGAGAATTAGTAAACATCAATTGCATCTTACAACTATACAAAGTTCACTAGACCAGGAAAACCTAAACAAATTACAATCGTAAAAAATTCAACATTTGTGCAGCTCGTTTTAAGGATTCAATGAATAATCAGCAAGAATAATTAGAAATTTGAATGTGAACAGGGATTCTTGTTACATAGATTCTTCTAGCTTACCCACATCAGCACATAACATCATAGGTACAAGGATGGATGTGTCCAACTCTGGTATCTATGTTACATGGAATCTTCTAAATGCATGAGGTATCCAAGTCAGACACTTGATATTTGGGGTTTGGGATATGTGTTCGACATGTGTAGTCGGAAATCACCTAGCAAACATATTTTGTAATTAAAGTTTACCATAAATCTATGCATAAAACCCCCATATTAGGAATGAAATGCTCTATCACATCTAGTGAACACCATTTCACCCTAGGAAGGGGGGGGGGAAGAGTATATTATAAAATATGAATTTGTTGTTGTGTTCCTGTGCCCTTGGAGATGAGATGAATCGGGCATTTAGACACATACCCACAACTGACACCCATACTTGAATCTATGTATCATAGCTGATATCCAACACACATCCAACTTGGACCATCAATACTTAACATGTGATCATGAAGAAAGAGCTTACATTTTACAGTTTCTGCCAACATGAAGCGAAAGAGAGAAATCCCTTTTCTCCACATCCCATTTAATTTACTTCTATTTTGGTACAACATACTATATGTATGAAATGTGCCAAGTACGTATCCACACACTGTACTGCCAATTTTCAGAAGCATTTCAAGCCAAGTCCTTTTATTCAAAGATGCAAGGTTAAAAGGTTAATGTGCTGGTATTCTTATGTTATTAAGACAAAAATTAAAAATAAAATAAAAGGAAAGAAGAGTTCCAAAGTCAGTCAACTACAGTGACAATCCACTTGAAGTTGTTCACCAACTTCAGGCACAAAAATATGTCCAAAATTTTAATTTTTCTCTTAATTTAGAAAACAATTTCCAATGAAGTTTTTCCACATTGAGATTTCCAACAAGAAGCAAAATAAGTTCAAGACAGCTTACATTTTACAGTTTCTGCCAACATGTAGCAAAAGAGAGAAATCCCTTTTCTCCACATCCCATTTAATTTACTTCTATTTTGGTACAACATACTATATGTATGAAATGTGACAAGTACGTATCCACACACTATACCGCCAATTTTCAGAATCATTTCAAGCCAAGTCCTTCTATTCAAAGATGCAAGGTTAAAAGGTTAATGTGCTGGTATTCTTATGTTATTAAGACAAAAATTAAAAATAAAATAAAAGGAAAGAAGAGTTCCAAAGTCAGTCAACTACAGTGACAATCCACTTGAAGTTGTTCACCAACTTCAGGCACAAAAATATGTCCAAAATTTTAATTTTTCTCTTAATTTAGAAAACAATTTCCAATGAAGTTCTTCCACATTGAGATTTCCAACAAGAAGCAAAATAAGTTCAAGACGGTCTTACAGTTTCTTTTGCTGCAGACATTGCCAAAAAACCTGCACCCATTTCCACCTCTTGCAACCCAACAACAACAATGCCAACATCAGACACTACAGAACCCAGCCATGACATAAGTGCATCATGAGAGGCTCTTCCTTGACCAACATTCCATGTGCCAACCAATATTTTAACATTTTCTTGTCTTTTGTACATCAGTTCGTTTTTAGCCAAATCTGACCGCAGTATGTTATCTATTGGTCCAGGAGATGAGATGTTCCATCCACGTATGCCACCATGAGTAGCCAAACTATAAACATAATCTCTCCCAACAACTAATTTTATTATAGGATTATTATGAGCAACCCAACCTGCAATTAGATTTCCCTCCAGATCTAGTATCTGGACCATACCACTCACATAACCAACCCATATTCGTGACCCCAAAGTGCAAAAGCATTGAACAGTACAAGGATGGTGATGGAAATCTTGCAAGCGATTTCCATTTCCATCCCACTGCACAAGTAAGCCATTCGAACATCCACTCCATATCATTCCATCTACAGTTAGCACTAGTGCTTCTATTCTTTTAGCATCTTCTGCAAATGCCCCTGTACCCTTAGTAGCAACCCGACGAACAGCATCTGCAGCTCCCATTATAGCATTACGTGAACGTTGCAGAAAGCTACTTCCTTGGGGTTTCTCCTTTTTTGACTTGGAAACAAACTTCACGTTCATCTCATCTTCAGCTACTTGATCTGGAACCGATGACACTTCACCTTTATTGTCAGTCTGACCATCTACATTATATACTTTTACAAGTTCCCTTGTACGAGCATCCCTGCATTTCACCAACTATCAGGATAATTAAGATTGACAAATGAAATACAAAATTTCCTTCACAAGTAACAACGCATTCAAAAAGCTGTGCATTTTGTCCCTCAAATTTTCAAGCAAGAAAAATGGAACGGAAAAGTAAGGTTTTCCTTTCAAATAAATAAAAAAAAAAGAAGAAGACAACAAAAAAAGCCAATAAATCACTAAAAAGAGATTGCTAGGTCAGGTCCATAATTATTATGATTGTATTCATAGCCCCTTCTCTCAACAGGGAGATCTGTGGTTGCAACCTAAAAGGTTGTGGATTTAACAATCTCCAAACAAGAAGCAAGGTTGCTAACTTACTAGATCAATAATGTACAGTCCAGCAATAGATTACTCTAAAGGTGACTGTTTATAATGTGCAAACCTACCACATGGACAAGGATAAAGACCCAGCTGCCCACACTTTAGCTCTAACATTATCAGATAACAAGCACTTCACATCTGAAGAAGATATACTACAGGCACCATTAACTGTAACTTGGCTTCTAAGGTCAATGGCTGATCTTTCCACCAGTAATGTAGCCATGTGTTTTTCCTCTGGCGAGAGAGAGAGAGATTTATCAATCGCTTCCCACGGCCAAATCTTTATAACTCCACCCTCAGAACCTGACCATAGGTCACCTGAATCAAAGCAACAAAATGTTAAAAACAACTACATAATGTATAATAGCCTCTGAAAGACTTTTGTCATTATATTTTAGTACATTCTAACGAGCTCATATAAAATTTGGTCAATAAATGTGCCTAATTGGAGCATTGGACACTAATGCTTGACCAAAATAATGTTGTACAAATATCAGTTCACCAAGTTGGTAGAGTGAACTGTTTCAAGATTGTTTCAGACATGGGGTTAACTAATTAATCTATCCCAATAAACATGCATAGAAACTGAAATACAGATGGTGGAAATAAAACTTGGTTTCACATGTTTCTAACACCAATTAACAGAACTATGCACTCATGTCAAATATTTCAACGAAAAGATAGGTCATGACCCCATTATGTAAGATGTGTTTATTTATTTAATTTTGAATGTTATTTATGTGTTTAATGTGTATATGAATGCATATCTATTCATTGTTCGAATATGTGTTGTGATCTCTGCCTAAAATCTGAAATTGAAGGTCTTAATGACTTTAGAAACCGAAATCGATAAGTTTAATTAGGATGACATAATTTTTAGAGCCTATTGGAAAGTTTGATTAAAATTTGATTCAGTTCAGAAAAATTAAGTTTTGATTAAATTAACTTAAGTATAATTACTGAGCTTAAGCCTCAATTAGCACCTTAAGCTAATCAACTCTTATATATGTGTTAAGATTAGAGATTTCATTATTTTGAGCTCAAAAATTTGAGAAGAGTTCCAGAGAGAGAGTAAGGCCATTCTAGAGAGAGAGGAGCTAGAAAGCTTGGATTTGTGCAAAGGGATTGAAGAATTGTGAAATAGAACTCAAATTCTTGCTAGATTGAACTAAATTGAAGACCTTAGGTAAGTGTTTAACTCTCAATTCATGAAATTTAAGACATCAAATATGTGAATTCAAGAAGATAAGGAAGATGAACATAAGAATTAAGTTAAGGATGGTGAAATTGAAGTTAATTCATATATGCATACATATTTCATCATTTTTGAGTTTGATTTTCCAAGAATTCTTACATGCATGGAATTCATACTTGTTGATTTTAAGAGTTCTTCAAGAATTTACACTCAATATTGTATATGTAAACATTTTGAAAGAAAATAATTGAATTCCTTGCATGCATGGTTGGATTATGAGTTTTATTTTGAGAATTGACAATGGTTTTGAACATAAGGTTTGGAATTAGTTTTGCATTCATGTTTTTGAAGGAGTATTCATGGTTTAGGATATGTCATGCAAGGGTTTATGGCATTGAATTTGTGTTTTGAAGCTTAAATTTTGTTCTGAAAAATCCAAAATTCGACCACATCGCTCAAGTTGTGAAACTACCGCTTGAGCGCACATTTCATGCATCCAGTATTTTTGCCGAGGCATTGCACATGGCTCGAACGACCAAGTGACCGCTCAAGCGACCAAGTGACCGCTCGAGCGATCTCAGTTTATTTTGAACATTGGCTCGAGCGACCATCGAGCCTAGATTCGGACCATCCAATACTTTTGTAGACCATGTGGTCCGCTCGAGCAACCATTCATGCGCTTAAGCAAAGTGCCTTGTTTCAACATATTTTGAAAAGTTATATTCTGATCACATTTGCATTCTTATTCCATTCTAAGCATTCTTAGACATGAATTGAGCCTCCCAAAAGAATTAATGAGTAAGAACTTGACATAAGAGAATTGAATAAGTTAAGAATGATTTGATTAAGCAACGAGCCTCAAAGTGTGTACATGTTTATGTGATATGTAGGTTCATCCGCGAAGACGTGTCAACAACCAAATCAATGTAAGTAAGTAATATCTTAATAAAGATATTTTTATATACGGTATTTTCTAAATGTTTCCAATGTGGCAAGTTTTCCCGAACTTATATGAATGAGCCTTCTATATGTCTAAACAACATGATATCTGTGAATATGATTGATGAGATACGAATGTATATGATGGACCTAAGGTCGTTCTGTATATTTGATAAGATGGACCCAAGATCATTCTGAATATCTGATAAGTTTGAATATCTGTTATGTGTTGATCAAATGATCATTATACAACTGTAATTGATTAGACCCAAGGTTGTTCTCTAAACTTCTGTTATATGCTAGATCAGAGGTTGTTTTATCAAGTTTTGGACCTGAGGTCGTTCCATTATGATGAGAATTTGAGTATGAGGTTAATTATGTTAAATAATAGAATTCATTCATATAACCTCTTTACGTTGATGTTATTCACCAGGCATTAGCTCCCTCCATTATATATATGTATGTAGGTGACAAGCGGGATGTCCAGCCCTAGTGAACCTGTAGAAGATTACCATGTTTTGTGAAGTCTGCCAAGAGTGCCTCACCGATAAGGCTTTTACTTTCGTTCTTTTGTTTTCTTTTGTTGGTTATGTTTGACCTGTACATATGCTTTTGGATCTGTATGATGACGACTTGTGAATGATCTTTAGACATGTAATATTTATTTGTAGAAGTATGGATGTGAGTTATTAACGTATTTGTTTATGTCATACATGCACAGCTCATTGGACAAAATTTTATAATTCTACTTCTACTTCTAACCTCATATAATTAAATATGATTTAAATTTTGTCTGAGACTGTAGGTAATCTCATGATTACTGACCGGTTATGATCCAAACCTCTAGGGGCGAGTTTAGGTCATGACACCAGTCTTCCTAGATTGTACATGATTCCCAATGTTGGTTATCAAGCAAGGAAGCATGCTATATTCACTATTGATGATCAATCACAAATCGTTAGAGCAATCACCAATGAAGCACAGATAAGGACTTGAGATAGGGTAACACAAAACAAAAACAGTGATAAAAAAAAATTCTCAAAAAATTAGGATACATTTACAATGGGGGCACCACATTAATTATACATGTATTATATATTTGTACTACATACATTAAAATATCTCTTTTACATATGAAAAGTATACTCTTTGTGATAATATTAATTTGTTATAAAATTATATTATTTTCAATTCATATTTGATAATAGGACCAAACTAGGCAAGCTCGAAGTATAAGTGGAGGTGTTTGGGTGGTGGTGATGGTAGTGATGAGGTGGAGGCGGCGGCGGCGACAGTTGTGGTCGTGGCAGTGGTGGTGTGGTGGTGGAGATGATGGGTGATAGTAATGTTGTGGCATTGATAAAATTTTGATTCGAAAAACATTTTCGGCTTTTCAAAACTCCACCCAAATAGGCTTATTTTCTATCCACTTTTGTTTTCCATATTACCAAATACCAAAAAATGCCAAACAAACGGAGCATTAGTATAATCACTGTATTTTACTGTTCTGGTCTTTTGGGACCCTCTAGAACCGCTTTGTAAATTTTTGGATAAATTACAAATACATCTCCCAAGGTTTACTTAAAATACAGATTAGCCTCTGTGGTTTGAAAAATTACAAATACCCCTTATTAAAAAAATTTATTTAACAAAATTAATTGAAAAAATAAAATTCATAATTGTCCTCATACATAATAATAAAATTATCTAAATTATTAATTGAAACATATTTTTAACATTATTAAAAACTGTTAATTGACTTAATGATTTATTAATAAAATGGGTAATTTGTTATGAAATTAGAAACTTTAGGGAGTGAAATGTAATTTTTAAAACCACAGAAAGGTGATTCGTATTTGAATAAAAATAGTTTAAAATAATTTTCAAAACCACACATAGCAATTTTTTTTTTTTTTTTCCTTTGTACAACAATTAATATAAAAATGGTTTAAAAGAATGTCAACAGACATATATATTTTTATTTATATATAATTTACTATAAAATTATGAAGTATGGTCATTGTCCAGGTCAAAATGTAATATGCATATATATGAATTGAATTGGGGAACAGAAGAGAAGAGGAGTTTTACCATGAGAACTTATGACCATGGAAAGAATGGGACCGCGGTGAGCCAACCAAGAGAGACCTTCCTTGAAAGGAGAATCATCAACAACAGGTTGATCCATCTTCCAAGACCTAACCCTACCATCCTTATGGCCAGACCAAACCAATTTAGTACCAGAATCAACAATCAAACACATTGTAGGCGAAGTGTTTCCGGATTCGTAGAAGGGTGCAGCATCCTCATCCCCTCTCCGAGCCCTACCTCCTACTCCAATACCAAGATGGTACGCATCCATCAGGTTCCAAAACCTAACCCCGGACTCTTGACCAGCCCAAAGCTGGCTGTCCGTACAAGCAATGGTTCTCAAGAATTTCCCAACCTGAGTCTCCCTCAGCGGGTGTGGCCTCAGCTCCAGCCCCGGCGGACGCCCCGGATGGACTGCAGCTCGCCCCGGGACCTTGAAGATCCCGGTGCCGCCGCCGCTGGCCACGAACTCCGTCATAGAATGGCGGAGTTCGTCGTCGGGGCTGCGATCGAGCTTCTGGTAGTCTTCGGACCCAGGGTCTCCAGGACCAGGACCAGAAGAAGCAGTGGAGCCGGTGGCGGTGGCGTAGGGATAGAAGTCATCGTCGGAGGAGTCGTAGTAGCGCTCAATGTTACGAGGGATTCGGTCCTCTTCGAGGCTGTGGTTGCGGAGTTGGTGGTGGCGCTTGTAATAGCCGCCGGTGTTGCTGCGCAATTGGTGGCTGTAGGAATGTGCCTTCCGGTGAGGCGGCGCGTCTGCTAGTGCCGCCAACGCCTCTCTGTCATCTTCTTCGAGCCGTTCACCCATTGTTTTGGGAAAGAGAATGCTGTGTGTGTGTGGGGAGAGAGAGAGGGAGAGAGAGAGAGAAAAGGAAAGAGTCAAAATGGAGATGGGGAGAGAGGGAGGGAGAAAGAAGAGGACATCGGTTGGTTTGTGTGGGAAAGGAGCGCGGGAAGTCGGGCTAAGCTCCATGGCTTCGTACGGACAGGAATTTGCTTTTCGTTACAAGGTTGTCTCGTGTGCTTTTTAATGTGATTTTGAAAATATTAATTAACTTTTTCTCCAAATATCAAGGAGGAAAATCCTAACGCTAAGCCGTTTGTTTTCTGATAGAATGGAGGAGATTTATAGTGAAGGAATTCCCAATATATAAAAAATAAAAAAATAAAAAAATTTCTAATCCCCTCACTATTTTTCTAATATCATCTCTGTCTCCTCCTTACCAATTCTCCTTCCTCCTCCTTACTAATACTAAGGGATTACTAATCCCCTCCCTATAACTCCAAACAAACGGTTGTGATGTATAAATAAAATATAAAAATATTTTGAAGGGCAAATTACATTGGCACCCTTGAAATTTATATTTATTATAATTTTTTTTTTACCTTTTGAAAATTACATCCTCATCTTTGAGATTTAAAGTTTCATTACAGATTGCTCCCTCAATTAGTTGACTAGTCAACTAATAGATTTTGCTGATGTCAACAATTTTATTTTTTTAAATATCAATTTTACCCTCATTGGGTAAATTATATTGACACCCCTTACATTTAAAAAATTACAATCCACTCCCCAAGGTTTAAAGTAGTATTACCAATTGACCCATCAGTTAGTATTAGTTGAAAAAAAAAAATTATTAAAAAAAATTAATTGAAAAAAAAATTGTTAGTCAAAATTTTAAATTTCTATTTAAAAACTAAAGTAAACTCATTTTTTAAATTTACGTTTTTTTCTCAATTTACAAATTAAGACAACCATTTGTAAACCAAAAAAATTATCAAACAAATTTTTATGATAGTTTTTAAAATTTTTGTAAATATAAATTGAAAATTGAAAACGAAATAGTTACCAAATAGGTCTCAGATGATAAAAATGTCGTAAAATTAACAAATAGTTAAATAAGTTACCAACGTAAGAAATGACTTATCAAAATATTCTTCAGCTGTATATGGTTTATTTTTAGAATTTTTTTAAAAAATTAAAAATTAAGTTAAGAAATAAAAAATAAAAAATAATTATTATTTTTATATAATTTTTATCTTTCGATTGGTTAAAAATAATTTTTTACAAATTAAATATATTTTTTCATATTTATTTTTATTAAATTAGTTTTTTTTTAAATGTCAAGGGGGATTCGTATTAAATTGAAACCTCCGGGGGTGTCAATGTAATTTACCCTTTAAAGTATATGTAAAGGTTAAGGGTAAATATGTCATTTTAACTGAAAAGTTAATACCGTCAAATAATTATACTAACAAGGGAGATTAGTGTAATTTTCCAAATGTGAGAAGGAAACTGCAATAAACATAAACTTCAGGAGTGTCAATGTAATTTATCCTATTTTAAAATATACAAAAACAAAATATTTAGGAGTTCTAATTAGACATCCTAATAATATGGAATGAATCCAATTTCTCGCTACTCATTTTTTCTCTCTCTATCGCTCTTTCATCTTATTAGATGTCAAAATAAGAATGATATATTAGAAACATATAGTATCACTCTATATAATAAGATGTCAAAATAAGAATGATATATTAGAAACATATAGTATCACTCTATATAAAAATTGGAACTCGATTATGTCAATTTAGTTATTGAACTTTAGAGACTTTTTTGGTTACATAGGCCTATTTGGGGACAATCTAGGTAAATCGTTCAGTTTTTAAAAATTTATTGAGTAAAATATTTATATAAAAAATTAACATAATTGGACATTTTTAATTATATATTTGAATCATATTTGTTTTATAAAAATGGACAATAATTATAATTTTTATAGTAGCCATTACTTTTTTGTAATACAAATGTGATTCAAATATATAATTATTGATATTTGATCATCTAAATTTTTTATATAAATATTTTATGTAATGGATATCAAAAAGTGAATGATTTAAATTATTGAGGTCGGTCCCAAAATAAGCCCACCAAATCCAAATGATTTCTTAAGTTATGATAACCAACATGTTACGTGTCAAAAAATGAATAATTTAAATTATTGAGGTCAGTCTCAAAATAGGTATACCAAACCCGAATGATGTTTTAAGTTATGATAACTAACATCAGAGAATCAAAATCTATAAAAAAAATTCTATTAAAATTTTAATTTTTTTTAAGATAAAAAATCCGATAGAGAGTTGGATTAACCTATTGAACTTCTAGACTTTTCTACTAGATATATGAAGTTTTTACTGCTCAAGCCAGTGATGACTTCAATTGCTGGAAAACACCACATCGACCTTATAACTAAAAGAAAATATGATATAATTTTAATTTTTTTGTGGCATAACTAAAAGAAAAAAAAAATGATATATTTAAACATAATACGAAGGATAACTAAAAAAATTTATGAATAACTAAAGAAAAAAATTTGTCATAATGAAAAAAAAAAAAAAAAAAAAAATAACAAGAGGTGTAAATGATATAACTTTTTTAAAGGGGATGTATGTTACTATTGTTACCCAAAAAATAATCTAAGAGGGGGTGAATTAGGTTTTTACAATTAATTATAATAATGCTCTAATAAAAATTATGACTAGTACAATAAATAAATATAGATAATGAAATAAAAATAATTAAAACAAGTATTCTAACAACTATTTCAGTTAATGATTTTAGCACAGTGAAAATGTAAAATATAGTTATGGAAATTTAAATAATATAAAGAGATAAAGGAAATAGAGACAAACAAATTTATAATGGTTCAGCTTCAACTCGGCCTACATCCACTCCGCAAGCTTCACTTGAGATTTTCCCCTATACTCTACCTTCACAGGGTGCTAGCAACTTTTCACATATGGAGCAATCTTCCATGGATTTTACACAGACTTTCTAAATCTAAAAATATTGAGTGTACTATACTCTTACAAAGTTGAAAAGAATGTGTTTTTGTTTTCACAGAAAGCTACAATAGTTATCTCTCAAAGATAGATATAAAAATAAATCTTTGGTTTTTCTGTGAATCTCACACAGGAAAGATGAGTTTAAGGCTATAAGGATAAGTGTATAATTTCTAAGAGATGATGTAAATAAAAATTGAAGACCACTTCTTAGAGAATTTTTCAGAAAATAGATGAGAATGATTTTTTATCAAGGAATATTTTTTGGGTTATATCACTTGTATATCGTTGTTGTGTTGTTTTCACTGAGGCTCTCTGGTATATATAGATCAAGAGGCTTATAGAACCGTTGCATTGATTTTGAATATAAATCATTCCATCATTACTAATTTGAACTTGTGGGAGACAAGGGTTGGTTTGGAACAACTTTAATTGGAATACTAGCCGTTGTAGTTCAGTCTCGTTGAGAGCAGAATTCGAAATGAAGCAGAACTGGGCAAAAATGGCCTGGCCGGTCGTCCGGCAGGATGACCACCCGGTCGACCGGTCCTTCACAGATTTTGAACTTTTTGAACTCCTATTGTGCTGGGCTGTTTGAACCTCTGTTTTTTGTTTGAAATGAACTCCTAATTTAAGCAAATATTAAACATATTCTAACAACATTTAGGATAAAAGTTTTAGGTAAAAAATAATAAGGTAAAATAAATTTTGATTCTATTTTTTTCTTTCAAATAAATTAAAGCATAATTAAATAAATCATCAAAACAAAGTTTGATTATATTTTTCTCTTCCAAATAAATTAAAACATAATTAAATAAATCATCAAAATAAATTTTGATTATATTTTTCTCTTCAAAATAAATTAAAACATAATTAAATAAATTATCAAAATAAATAAGTCTAACAACTATATTTGGTAGAAAGAATAGAATGGAGTGAGACTAGAAATGGAATATATTATTTGATTGTTTGATTGTTAGCATGGAATGGCATCTGAATAAAATGATGGGTAATGTTAGAAATATCAAATTTTTTACTAAGTAAATGACCAAATGTCTCTACACCCATGTGAGATATTTAGTCATTTATTTAATAAAAAACTTAGGGCGTATAGCATTTTCCTAAAACGATTATTTTCATTCTCACGTTGAAAACTAATAACATGGAATAATTTTTTATTTTTTAGGATAAAATTCATTTTACTCTCTCGTAATTTCTGTCACAACCCAAATTCGAACATGACCGGTTGTGGCCCATAGGGCCTTAGCCCAAAGCACACATAAGTCTAAATACGAATCCATATACACATCGAATAAATAAAACAATAGTCCAGTAATAAATAAATCAAAACTCAATCCAGTGACATGTCACCGGTATGAATGGAAAAATCAACCATAACCCACTTTCAAAATATATACTAAATGGAACACAAACCGCTCACAAAATAAAATAATTCTAAATAAAATCTAACCACAATATATGCACAAAATCGACATAATAAGTTAAAACAAAATAAATGAATGTCCTAAAGTAAATGACCAAATGTCTCTACATCCATGTGAGATATTTAGTCATTTATTTAGTAAAAAACTTAGGGCGTATAGCATTTTCCTAAAACGATTATTTTCATTCTCACGTTGAAAACTAATAACATGGAATATTTTTTTATTTTTTAGGATAAAATTCATTTTACTCTCTCGTAATTTCTGTCACAACCCAAATTCGAACATGACCGGTTGTGGCTCATAGGGCCTTAGCCCAAAGCACACATAAGTCTAAATACGAATCCATAAACACATCGAATAAATAAAACAATAGTCCAGTAATAAATAAATCAAAACTCAATCCAGTGACATGTCACCGGTATGAATGGAAAAATCAACCATAACCCACTTTCAAAATATATACTAAATGGAACACAAACCGCTCACAAAATAAAATAATTCTAAATAAAATCTAACCACAATATATGCACAAAATCGACATAATAAGTTAAAACAAAATAAATGAATGTCCTAGATGTCCATAAGATAGAGTCCCTGTTGGGCTATGAGTCCACTCTAAGTCTTTCTCTCACTTGAAAATGTTCAACAACCAAGTCAGCTGATAGCTCAGTGAGTAGAAGTATGAAAAATAAAATACAATTTTAAAAATAGGGTTCAATTCCAAAATAAGATTGTACATAACAGAAATTAGATTG